TTGATGGAGAAAGATGAGACTTTCTCTCTCTAACTTTTTAAGCTCAAATCTATGTGGAACTAAAGTCTCTAACAATGTGGCTTCATCCTCTATTTATAGGGGAAAATTAACCCTTGAACTAAGAGTTGACTTTCCCAAACCATGGTTAACGTTGCTTGGGAGTTGGGCAAGACAGGTGATGATACAGCCTGGGTAGCTGGAATGAGTGACCGACATAATCCCGTTGCAGGTACCCAAGGGCAGACAAGATCTGCAGGGTCAGACAGAGTCATCAGCAGAACTGGCAGTTGCAGCGCCGATCCCTCCAAGCGTATCTTCGAGGTGGATTTCTCAGGCAGAGCTCTCGAACAATTGGCTTCAAAAATATCTTCTCATACTTTAAGAACTTTCGAAATGCCGGTTGAACTTGGAAAATTCGTTTTGCTCAGCAATCTCCTTATGTCACGACATTTTCTTTCCTCTTTTCCTTGCTCTCAATACATGCACATCATCAGACAAGTACCTTTCCCATAAAGCAGCACCACTATAACCACCACATGTAACTAAATGCTTCTAAATGCCTCTACATGGTTCTAAATGAGCCTTTATACATTCAATAACTTAAGTTAAAAGGTCCCAAAATGTGACCTTTTACGGAGTTATCACTAACGTTGATAAATGCACTGATACGATTCTTTAACCTGAAAAGGTGAGTACCAGAGTGAGCTTTGGGAAGCTTAGTAATACAATACTACCAATTGATGCTACATGACATGCAGATAAATGGGAAACCATATAATTTCCTTATTGAATCAGATATATATTGAATTTTGGGATAATATGGGGTTCTACTGCTAGTTCATCGAGTAAAAGCCATGAAGATCTCAGTTCATAGGAAGCATTCATAGTATCACATTTTCAGGAGGTCGAATAGAATATCGAATAGTAAATTGCATTCATAATATGAGGTTTCCACATTGCAAAAACATTAGGAATTGTCAACGTAATTAATTCTTGGTTCATAACTCATAGGGATGGTACATCATGTAAGCTCATCTAAGTTTCCAGACTTATACAACTCACTTACTTAATCCTCAGTCATTGAGGTTACTTAGTTCATTTAGTATTCAATTCTAACCTAGTTACTATAGAGTTTTCTATAGAAACTCATACGTTTATTCAATCGAGGTTGATTTGTCTCACGATATCCACTTCTTAGTACTGAATGCACCATAGCGTTGAGCTGAGCATAATACTTCTAGAATTATCATCAATCCATACTTGAGGAGACAAACAATGATTCGAGTGTTATCTATGCCATTCAGGTGCTAATATAGCACTAGCATTGATTGACCGGCTTAATCTGTGTTCCATAACTTTTAATAGTAATACAACATCCATGTTTATTTGAATTTCTTAATTAATCCAAGACATTTACTTTTTCTAGGCCATAAGGGTATTTTGGTCATTTTGGTGCTCAATATAAATTGTCCTTTTTGAGCTTGAGGATATCCAATCATTACCAAGCTTGGGGATATTCTTGATTTATTTCTATTACAGGGGTAATTAGGTCATTTTACAGATCCAGGATTTTTCAATTCTTTTCTTCCGTCTGATCTTATTATTTAATTCAACTTATCATCTATTGTAGTTATTTCGAACAATTCTGACAAAAGAGCACCCTCAATAAATTATTTTTCAGGTATTTACTCATAGCTCGGAGATTTTCGGGTCAAGGGTCTTCTCAGATGTTACAAACAGTTTATCAGGAATTTTTTGTGCAAAGACAGGGTCTTAACAATTAAATCTGTAATTTGTCGGGTTAGGTACGAATTCTCAAGGTACTTTATCATTCAGAGTCAACTCGGATTATTTTTACCTTTCAAGGGCATTTTCGTAATTCCTTAACCAGGTAACTTCGGTATTAAAACTTTTAACAAGGATAAATAGAATTTAGAGATCCTAGAGTTAAATGATTTTCCAAATAATCTCTGAACTTGAAATTATTCCTTATCAAACTTCTAATTTCTTGTACAGGCCATCATAATTTTATTCAGTTACCGACTTTTTATCGTATTCGTATCGCGTGTAGGAATTACCTAATTATACAGATGAGATCAAATATTTTCTTATTCATGCATTTACCAATACCAACATGTTCCATAAAGTATGAAAAGGTAGTAATGTATTACCTCGATTTTCGTTCCATACTGATCGACCATTTAAATTCTATTCGAACGCCTTCAATCTTTAATTCAACTTTCAATAATTCCTCAAATACATAACAACGTAAATTTCATAAAAAAATGAGCTTAATTGCAAAAAACGGACCTTAAAAACGGAACCAGGGTATCAAAAAATGTCAGGATAGGTGTACCCGAAAAAAGTTAACGGTCGGTTTATGGGCGGTCAACGCAGTTCGGGTCAACGGTAAATGGCTCAGTCAGCTTGGCTCGGTTGCTCGGCTCGGTGGTTTGGCTCGACGGCTTGACTCGGTGGCTCGGCTCGGCGGCTTGACTCGGTGGCTCGGCTCAGGGACTCAGCTTGGCGGCTCGGTGGCTCGGACCGGTCCAACCGGTTCAGACCACTCAAGCTGGTCAACTGATTCACCAAGCTTCCAGACAAAGCCCACTCGCAAGGGGTGGCGCGTGTGGACGAGTGCGGAGGCCTAGGAGTTCGAAAAAAATCCATAAAATTTTCTAAAATTATTTTAAGGCATTTTGAGACACTTACCAAGCTCGGTTCACAATTTTGAACGGCGGATAGCTCGATTTTAAAACGTCAAAAAACTTTAACTTCTTCTCCCCCTTACGCACCGGTGAACTCAGAATGATGCAAGGAACACGATGGTGCGGGAGGTGTCGAAAATGGGTGGCCGGATCGACCTGAATCGATGGAAAACCAAAGGCGATTAAGTTAAAACGACGAAGTTTCCGGTTGAGATTTACGACGAACGATGCCGATTCACGATGGAATAGAGGTTGGGTTTTGTTCACCGTTCAATGGTGAGTCTTTTGGTAGTTTCGGATCGACGAACGGTGGCCGGACGGTGGAGAAATCAGAGTTACAAAAGGGGTTGACGGGGGACAGGAAATGAGGAAAAGCAATCTGGAGAAACCAGATTGTTCGCGGAGGAGATTTTATTTTTCAACAAATAAGAAAAATGGGTAAATTCAGGATTGGTTCCTAAATTTCCTGTACTTCATAAAATGGTTTGCTAACTTTATGATTTTACACTTTAATCCTCAATTTCTTCCAAAATACCACTTAAAATCAATATTTTATAATTTCTAAAATTTAGCCCCTAAATTGGGGTGTGACAAGATCAATGACATTTAGTTATTAAGGATGACAATTCACTAATCAAACTACAGATAAACTTGGCATAGTATTAGGCAATTCTCTAACACAAAGTATACAAAAAAACACAGTATGACAAAATATAATAACAACGATGTCATAAATATATTGCATATGTAACATGCTTGTACTTCAATAATTCAATTTATTTCAGTTGTAGTCCAATAGTAGACTAGTGATATATGAATACTCGAATCTTGTGTCATCATCAAGTACTGAAATGTTGTAGCATTATGGTCATCCCTCCACCTCACTTGGATATAATGTCCGACCAACAATATCCTCTGTTTCAACAAGATCAAAGTCTTAACAAAACACGTACAAAGCATTATGAATTCTGTAACATGTCAATTGTATTTGAAACTCGACTAAATGATCAAGGCTTATTTTACCGCAATACGCAGTTCAAATTTAGTCAGTTTACGATGGTTTTCACACAACTTATTATACAACGAAGTATAAGCACTTAGCTCGAATTAGTCCAATTCATAATTCAGACTTCAAATTCACATAACACATAACAAATTCATCCATTAAAATAAAGTATAACATATTCGAAATATCAAAATAGCTTAACTAAACCTTACTTACACAAGAGATTGCCATCCATATGCTCTAATTGAGTTTTACCACAAATCTATCGCAAAGACATATAATTCTTTCCTACACCATCAAAACCAAAACACACCAAAACACACGTATAGACTCGATTATAATTATACTCATCTAATCTGAGTTTTCAGAGTCCCTCATATCAATGAAATAATCTACAACAATAGCTTTTTCACCTTTGATTTTAGGGTTTTCATCAAATCTCTTTTTCTAGCAAAAAAAAAAAACACATAATCAAAGGTAAATTCATTATCAAAGACAATAACACATAAACCCTAATTTGTCATAAATCCCTAAAATTGAATCAAATTTAGAGTTACACTAACTTGATAATGAATCAAATGATACTAAATGATAGAGCTAAGTTCGGACTTCTCAAATATAGCTTTAATTTAAAATTTGGAGAGACAATTTAGGGATAATTTGAGGTATCTCTCTAGAATCCTTTAGGGTTCAAACTCTCTCTTCAATATCATCCATGAGTTTGTTTGAGCCCAAATTAGTGTATAAATTTAAAAGCCCAACAAACTCAAATGAGAATCAAATCAACATTGATTCTTTAATGAGAACAACATATACACTGCTTATTTGTATTTTTAATGGTAAATAATATTTATTTAGAATCTTTCTTAGTCGTTGACAACATATGTCATGTTTTACCCCGATCATTCAAAGATAACATTATTTATTAGAACTAAAATCATTTTAAAGAGTTGGGTTTATTTGTATTTTTTTATACAAATATTTAAGAATTTATTTTGTCGATCACAGACAACCACAATTTGCAACAAATATTAATGCAAAAGTAGAGGTAACAGTTTTGTGTGTACAGTCAATAATGCCATATAATTCATGACGCATGGATGAATCTACAGAGCTAGAAAGAGAGCAGCACTAAACACAACAATATTTCAAGCAATTAAAAGCCTTCATTCCAACTCAACTTCTGTCGAAGAATTACAGGCCACTAATGGAAACCAATCTCACCAAAACCGGAGGCCAACTCCTTGCATTTAACCCACTTTTCCAACTCTATAAAATAAACACCATGTCCGGTTCATTATCCTACACAATCCAAACACAGTTTTCGTTTGTAAACTTTGAGGTCTTCCTGTTATGGCTAATTCTCGAAGTCTCCTTGTTTCAGCTCTCTTCATTGCACTGTCACTGTCATTTTCGGCCATGGATGTAGCTCAGGCTCGCCGTCTTCTGCAGACAGTAACCACCACAACGCCACCAGTATTTCCAAATGTGCCTCCAGGACCGTTCCGTGGCTTCCCATTCCTTCCTTTCAACGGACCCTACCCGGAGTATAGGTTGCCGCCATTTCCGGGCTCAGCTCCTGGCTTTCCCGGCTCGTTCCCGATATTCCCTGCTCCGCCGACATTTCCCAACCCTTCCCCTTAAAACCACAGATTTAAAAGCTATGACTCATGCGTGAAATTTCTATATTACCAGTGCTAAATAAAGGTTAAGCTTTAATATTGTGTAGGGTTGAATATTTGTTTTGTTTTGAATATCTATGGCGGAAGCTTTGGTTTGGCTTGCTCTTTGTTCGCTTTGGATCGAATAATAAGTTATATAGTATTGACTAATGTCGTTGGTAGTTTATGTATTAAAAACATGGTCTTGCTTCTACCCATCTTTCTAATTTTATGTGTGTACAAGGAATGAGTATCTAAATCTTTCCTATTATGTTTAATTTTATATTGCTTTATGTTGGGGAAACCAGATTATTTCCCACACGAACGTAGTTTCAAAATTGATCTGAAATGTCAAGATCAAAATCACCTTGAATTGCATAGCGGACAAACCCGTCAAACTATTGAATATTGAAACACAATGGAAAAACCGAATAAAGAAAAAATAAAGGAGAGAACACACCAAATTTACGAGGTTCGATGAAAATATCGTCTACTCCTCAGGCACCACACCGGATGATAACTTCACTATCAACAAATATTACAACAAATGGAATTCTTCAGAATTTCCAAAGTGAGAGAATGAAGAAAACAAATGGAAGAGAGAACTTGTTTTGGAATGATTTCTAATGAAATACTTAGGCTATTTATAGTTGAGTTTCAAGGACTAAACTTATAAATAACCTAATATTTTAGGGACCAAAGATGAAATTTTCATGTGCAAAGTTGGTCACCTACCAAAGATGAATTTTCTCATGTGTAAAAGTTGGCCACAAACCAACTTGTCAACTTTGCCAACTTGTCAAATTTGACAATTTGAAAGCCAAACCTAACAAATCTCCACATTGGCTTGAAATTACCAAGCCTACTCAACTTCTTCAACTCCCCAAATTTGATGAAGTTATTTTAATGTAGTGCCTCTAATTGCGGTCACAAGCGCCACGCACCCGAAGATGTTCATACTTTGAGGATATTAATCAAGTTCAAACAATAATTGAACTTGATTATTGTTACCTCCTTGGTCATCATATCTGTAGGATTTTCTGTTATTGCAATTTTCTGAAGCATAATCTTTCATTCTTCAAAGATCTCACGCACAAAGTGATACCTCACTTCGATATGCTTAGTCCTTGAATGGTAGACTTGATTTTTCGCTAAGTGAATAACACTCTGACTGTCACAATAGAGACTAATGTGACTTTGAACAACTCCCAAGTTTTCCATCAACCCGTTAAGCCAAATTACTCATTCACAACCTCTGAAGCTGCCATGTATTTTACCTCTGTAGTAGACAAAGCCATCGTAGATTACAAAGTTGACTTCCAACTTACTGGGGCTTTAGCAAGAGTAAACAAATACTCAGTAGTTGATTGACGCTTATCCAAATCACCAGCATAGTCGGAATCAACATATCTAACCACACACTGACCAAGTGCTTCATCCTGTTCAAAAACTAAACCAACATCCACGGTTTGTTGGAGATACCGTAGAATCCATTTCACAGCTTTCCAATGTCCTTTTCCAGGATCATACATGTACCTGCTTACAACTCCAACTGCTTGTGAAATATCAGGATGCGTACACACCATTGCATACATCAAGCTCCCAACTGCATTAACATATGGAAGTTTTGCCATATACTCTCGTTCTTCGTTAGTTTTAGGAGATAACTGAGAACTAAGTTTCAAATGAGAAGCCAGTGGGATACTTACATGTTTGGTATTTTCATTCATGCCAAAACATTGTAATACCTTTCTCAAATACTGCTTCTGTGTTAAACAAAGCTTTTCTCTCTGTTTATCTCTACTTATCTCCATACCAAGAATCTTCTTAGCCTCACCTAGATCTTTTATCTCAAGCTCTTGAATCAACTAAGCCTTTAATTTGTCTATCTCATTTTGAATCTTCGAAGCGATCAACATATCGTCAACATACAAGAGAAGATAAATGAAATATCTATATTTGAGCTTTTGAAAATATACACAAAGATCATATTTGCTTCTAGTGTACTTTTACCTCCTCATAAAGCTATCAAATCGCTTGTACCACTCCCTCAGAGATTGCTTCAATTTATATAGCGATTTCTTCAGCTTACAAACTCATTTCTCATAACCACCATCTTTGTATCCTTCTGGCTGAGTCATATAGATCTCCTCTTCTAAATCATCGTGCAAGAAAGTCGTCTTTACATCAAGTTGAGCTAGATCCAAATTTAATTGTGCTACTAAGACCAATAATATTCTAATGGAGGAATGCTTCACAACAGGGGAAAATACTTTATTGTATTCGATTCCCTCCTTTTGAGCGTAGTCTTTAACTACCACCCTTGCCTTGTAGCGAACATCTTTCTTGCTATGAGATCCATATTCCCTTGCAAATACCCATTTGCATCCAATTTCTCTTTTACCTTTCGATAATTGTGCCAATTTCCAAGTGTTGTTCTTTTGGAGAGATTGCATTTCTTTATCCATGACATTTTTCCACTTATCACTTTCCAAGCTTTGTATTGCTTCTTGTTAATGATAGGGATACCATCATCAACAACTGGAAGAGCATGGGCCACCACATAAATAAATCGAGCAAGTCTACGAATTTCTCTCCTTGGCCTTATAACTGCAAGTGATTATGGTGTCTCTAATGGTTCTTGGATTTGAACTTCTTTATCTTCTAATTCTTCTATTGGAGTTGAAGAATCAACTGCATCAACTTATGGGATCATCATCTGCTGAAACTCCAATTGTTTTAGAGTATGCTCCACCTGCTACGGAGTACTACTTATCTGGAAAGCTTCATTTGTTACCTTCTTTACTAGGGCAGATTCGTCAAAGGTAACATCTCTGCTATAAATTATCTTCTCGGTGTCTAAACACCAAAGGCGGAATCCCTTCACTCCATGAGTGATTCCCATAAAGAGAGCCTTCTTTGTTCTCAGATCAAGATTAGATTCCTTCACATGATAATAAGCAGTGGATCCAAATAAATATAAGGAATCATAATCAGTAGCATGTTTTCTAGACCATACCTCCAATGGTGTTTTCCCTCATATCGCATATGATGGCAGACGATTGAAGAGATGCCCAACATATGTCACAGCCTCAGCCAAAAATGGCTTGCCTAACCTAGCATTAGATAACATACATTGAACTTTCTCTAATAGTGTTCGATTGTTCGATTCACATGCTCTGCCTCCCCATTCTGTTGTGGTGTATTTCTAACAGTGAAGTGTCGAATAATACCATACTCATGGTAAACATCAAAGAATGGGTCACTTTTATATTTCCCTCCATTGTTCATCCTAAGACGTTTGATCTTTCTACCAGTATGGTTCTCGATCATATTTTTCTATTTAAGGCAATTTCTGAGAACTTAATCTTTAGACTTTATTGGATACACCCAAATTCTTCTGGAAAAGTCATCTACAAAAGTTACAAAATAATGTTTTCCTCTCAAAGACGGTGTCTTGGAAGGACTCCTCACATCTGAGTGAATATAATCCACAATACCTTTTATATTATGTATAGTGGTGCCAAACTTCACTCTGTTCTTCTTTCCTAGAACACAATGCTCGTAAAAGTTCAATTTGCAAGCCTTTTCACCTTTCAACAATCATTTCTTTGCCAGAATTTGCAAGGATTTCTCTCCAGCATGTCCCAACCGCATATGTCACAACTGGGTTGTGTCCAAATCATCACCTCCAGAAACTGTTGCAACTGCTCCAATAATTGTACTACCTTGGTAGTAATACAAATTACTTTTCCTGACGCCCTTCATCATCACAAGTGCCCCAGATGTGACTTTTAAAACTCTATCTCTTATAGTGACTAGTGAGCCTTTGGATTCCAAGGCCCCCAACGAGATGAGATTTTTCTTCCAGCTAGGCACGTATCAGACATCAGTCAGAACTCTGGTTGATCCATCTTGATTCTTCAATCGAATTGAACATATCCCAATAGTTTTACAGGCATTGTCACTGCCCATATAAACAACTTCTATATTTAGTTCTACTAAATCAGAGAACCACTCCCGATTAGGGGATATATGATAAGTGCAACCCGAATCTAATATCAACTTATCTAAATTGAATGTTTTTTTATGAAGCAACCAATGATATGTCAGAGTCATTGGCATTATGCTCTGCAACACATGCATCAGGAGCAACTTTTCATTTCTTCTTCAGTTTCGGACAATCTTTCTTCCAATGGCATTTCTCATGACAAAAGACACATTCATGTTTTCCCAGTCTGGACTTCAACTTTGATCTCCCTCTTCTCTTTGGGTTTTGACTTTTCGAGCGACCTCTTGCCATCATGGCCTCCGCTGCTTCGTATTTGCTCTCCTTCTTGGTTTTCTTCCTGAGCTCATAACTATACAAAGCAACAATTACATCTTTAAGGGAAACATTATCCTTACCATGAAGTAATATTGTCTCAAGGTGCCCAAATTCATCTGGAAGAGATGAAAACAACATCAAAGCCAAATCTTCATCTTTGAAGGTTTTATCCATGACCAATAAGTTTACCACTAGCTCATTGAACGCACTGATGTGTTCATTTATACTGGTGCCTGGTTGATAATCAAATCTAAACAATATTTTCTTCATGTGGAGGCGATTCTAAGAGCTTTTCTTTAGGAATTTTTCCTCCAATGCTTTCCACATCTTACTTGTAGAAGTCTCGTTCTTGTAGCCATACTTCTGCTCCCTAGAAAGACAAGATCGAATCATGTTGCATGCCAAACGATTAATTGTTCTCCATTCTTTATCCTCCATATCTACGGCTTTTCCTTCCTCAATGGTGATGTCTAGACCTTGTTGGAATAAAGCGTCTAACACCTCGCCTTGCCAGATGCCAAAATGACCAGATCCATCGAACAACTTCATCGAGAAGTTTACATTTGACATTACCCTCCTCACCAGTCTAGATGAAGAGCTTGATGTCTCAACTGATCCGTATTTTGACATTTTAATTCTAACGAACAATATTCAAAGCACGAACTGTATCTTTTCAGCAAAAGGACCACCAGGATAACCTCAACTGAAGCACTAAATACCAATTTTTAGGGAAACCGGGTTATTTCCCACACGAACGTATTTTCAAAATTGATCTGAA